TAAATTAATTTGATATATATTTATTCTCTTCATCCATGTTTCTAAAGTTCGCTTCTATATATAACTTCACATTTTCTTTAAGGCTTTTACAGATGTTCGTTGTAGCTGACACATTTAAATGAAATGTCCCAAAAGAATGTCTGTAGCTTTAATTAAATATTTTAACTTTTTACTACTTAAGCACTGAAAGAGACTGAAAAATAAAAAGATTAACTATATGAAGATAATTTCAATAATAGTACGATATTATAAAAACTTATGTACATACGATTTATTTCTCATTTTCAGGTACCGATCACTGGAGTTATTAATAATGAACAATAAGTCATGGTGTGAGAGTTACTTTGTAATTCATCATACCTTTAATATAATGGTTGATCTATGCACCAAACTCAATTGAACATCCGACAGAAATATGTTCTCGTTTGATGGCGCTATTAAGTTGATATGCAGCGACACGATAGACAATGTAGCAGAACTGTACTAATGGTCACCCATTCAATTTATTGTGAATAACAAACCATTTTGAAATATAACCTCTAGCGCATGTTGTTCTGCATTATTGGACATAAAGTGATGAATTCTATAATTTTGGAATCTAATATGTATATCGAAAATTTAGACATAATGTCAACTTTCTATCTGTGCCCTAGGAAGCATTGAAATTAAAAAGTAATTTGGAGTTTGGAGGTTGGCAGTGCAATAGACGATTAAATAGAAGAAACTTGTTGTGTAAGATGCTTTTAAGTTGTTTTATTTATTTATTTTACCCATCCATACCTATGTGAATGTAGATTCTGAACTCTACAGTTAACAGTCTACTTTCAAAATACTTTGTTATTCAATTCAATTCTTTCGAATATATATTCTGTCGTTGAATATGATAAATACGTTAAATATATTAAATATTATACTTCGAGTGTAGAAGGGAAATTATGTATCTTGTCTGAGAGAGGATATGTGAAAAATGTGGTTAAATTAAAAATTTGAATTCGTTAGAAATTCTAGTCGTATTCAATATAAGGATATTTATTTTGACGAAAAAAATTAATCCATTCAACTTGCATTCTTAAGATATAATCCATACCGTATCGTAAATGAAAATGAGAGAAACTATCATGTAAAACTTTTTAATGGAAAATTCTTGATTTTTTCTTTTATGTATCACATTTATACAATGCAAGATAATAAAATAAGTCTTTTATACGGTATCGATTAATAATTTAATAACGAAGTTAAGTTTCTAGTAATATGTCAGTAGGTTATTAATTGTTACATTTCAGTTAGGATAAGACTAAATTTCTCCATAAAATATTAACTCGGTTCCAATTGATCAGAAACAATATATGATTCAGATTTTAATGGGTATTTTTATTATTTTTTCATAAACTCACTTTTTTTTCTGTTTTATTAAGTTAGTTTAATTACAATACTATTAGAATCAGAAAAAGAATATGAAATTATTAATCCTATTAACAACAGGTTTTTTTTATTAATTTATTTCTAGTTTGAAGAAAGAACCTTTACTTACAGCAAAATAACTACATACATTTTGGTTTTCCCAGTTATTTTCCACAGAAGTTTTTACAGGACTCATACGCGAAATCTAAGTAAATGATCTGTAGTGTTGCAGTTAAGGATAACGAAAAGGAGCATCTTATTAATTGGAGATAACCAACCTAGAATCAAGAACCAAGAACCAAGATTACAATACTGTGATTTTATGGAAAGTATTAGGTCTATATTCTTCATGGAAAACTTTTAGCGAATACAACTTCATCAAAGGAGTATTTCGAGCACTGCGTAGTTTTGTTGCGTTACTCGATACTTTTGAGTGTCCAACTCGCTGAGTAAAATTTTAAGAAGTATTTGTCACAAAACTATAAAAAATTAAAAACTTTTGTATTTTGTATTTCTAAATTTTTAATATTGTGCATTTCTAAATTAAATCAGAATTTCGATTAAAATAATAATATGAAAAGTAGTTTTTTATTTAGTAAAATCTTATGAAAATTTCATATGAGAGAAATAGTAAGTACAGAGTCATATATTTATAGTATATAAGTTTAGTTTAAAATATAAAGCACTTGATACGGGAAAGTGTAAGATGACAATAAACTATTGTGAATATGAAACCGAAATTGTTTTTTTTTTGTTTGTGTAAAACTCTTACAGTTTACCTTATTTTATTAGTTAATAAAGCTATTTTTATATTAGAATATAGTAGATACGTAGATCTAATTTTAATTGTGTTCAGATTAATAACATAACACTGTCAAAATTGATATAAAAAGGTTTCGCTATTCGGCGGTCTAAGAAAACATTCTCTCCGAAGCACTCTCAAACAGAACGTCCGCCTCAAGCAGTAAACTTGCAAATTAACTACTCTTCATTCTGGTCACTTACTTTAATTATCTTGTCAACAGCCACATATATTTTTTGGTATTTTATTTAGCACTTTTCATGTCTTTGTGTGAACTTTATTTGTGTTCCAAAATTGAATATCAATAAGAGATATAAAAATAGCGCTTTCTAAACCAGAATTCGAGGGTCTTCTGCCAGCGTTTAAGATCACATAATGCTTCAATTTTGTTTAAATATTCCCACTTTGCAGCAATTTGTAAAAATTTATTAATCCTTTATTAAATCACATGTTTATACAATAAAATCTCCAATAGAGACTACACTCCTACTTATTCTTTGTAACTTAATAACTTGGACAACATTGTGTTTTTTATCTTCCTTTTTGTAAAATGACTAATATCAAGATGGAATTAGTTAACATATACGTAGCCATAAATCATGAACGACAGAATATAGAGAAAGTTTTTACTTTTGACACAAATAATAGTGTATTGATCAGGTACAGGCGTGACCAGGTACAGAGAAGATCCTCTGTTAGTGCGATCAAAGTTTAATAAAAATTTCTCTCTTGTTATCATTCTTACGACGGTGACCACGACTGAGACCACGGTCGTGAACGCGACTGCGATTCTTAAGCGGACAGTGCCTTAATAATTTTGATTAATAAATAAATAAATAAATAAATTTAAGTGAATAAATGAATAATATAAATTTGGAAAATTTTACTGAAGTAGACAGTAGTGATTAAGACGATATAATTAAAAATGTGTTTTTAAATCGATTAAAATAATATAGAAATATGTGAAATCTGATACGTAGAATACAATGGCATGCACGTCTTGTTAACTGATGGGTATTCAAACAGATTGGTGACGTTGTAACATAACTAAAATAAAACTTTTTTTTAATTAAATTTTGTTTTTACTGTGAAATATTTATTTATCTTTTATTTCTTAATTCGCAAATTTGTTTATATTTAATAAAAAGGATTGGTCAGCTGATCGTTTACGACACGACTCAGTCTGCCTTTGGTTTTGGTATTAACATGCACTGATGGTCTGAGCATTAATTCTCTTAAGTTGGAGAACTGATTTATATGCATTGTTCGATATTTTTGGTATATACCTAATGTTTTTTCAAGTAATTTTTGTTTTGATAAAAGACGAATTATGTGCATAAAAAAGTAATTCAACTAAAACCTTAAAATTAACTGCGAAGTACATGTTTTATATTGTAATTTAATATTTAGTATAAAATTAATAAAACTAAATATGATATGAACCCGAAGGTTGTAATGTATATATTTCCAATGTCCTATTTCATCACTTTACTGAAGAACGTTGAGGATTTTTCGGTATTCGATATTCGGTATACGGTATTCAGTGAACATCAACTTATTGCAGTAAAAAGTAATAAGTAAAGAAAAATTGATGAAAATGAAAATTATATAAAAGAATAAGTTTTACTTGAATTTTATATTACTTTTTCATATTTTCTCTTGACATTTACATGCTTTTATGTAAAACAAACAAGCAAAAACAAAATCAGCTACATTATCGAGAAAGAATTAAAATGGGGCATTGACAGAGAGAGTAGAAGACCCAAAAAGTTTTTTTGGGATTGAATTCGTATTACCTACAAAACAGATAACGAAATAATTTAGAAAAAATGCTAAATATCTGTAAAAACTGATAGGATTACGATTGCGGAAGATACAGATGATTAAAGTACGTCTGTAGAATTGTACATAAATTGTATACAGATGAAACCTTCAGTAGGCACTGATCAGAGAATATTCATTTTGGAGTGATAGTGTAATATTTGTATATATAAAGTAGTACCCTAGTAAAGTAGTTCGCATCCTAGTAAAATAAATATAAATGTACATATTGAACTCCTTGCATTGGGAGGAATAATAGTTGATTTTTTTAAGGACTATCGAAATATTGCGTTACGTTACGTTGCGTCACGTTGCATTCTTCTTTAAAAACACAATCTTTCACTTAATATGATATTGTTCTGCCTTTTTTAAGTTTTGTTCTGTTTTTATTCAATTTATTAATTTTACCTATAAAAATTTAAATTCGTTGCATTTTTCATTTGGATCCTTCGCTGTGTCATTCATCTTACTTGAGTGTTTTTATTCGTCCAGGTTTATATAATGCATATACTCAATAATGACAATTTCATAAGTGGGACTATTTGTCTTTCTTTTTTCGTCTTTATTTATTTTTCATAAGTTTATTTTTCCTATGTTAAAGACTCTATTCCAGAACTTGCGTTTGCGAATAATTTACTTCTTCAGAGCAGAAAATGAAGACTGAAAATATTTTCCTAAAAACAAGAAAATTAAATTAGAAATATTTTCACACTTATTGAAAATACTATATTTTATTAAATACTTAACGGAGTGTTCTGCATTATGTAAATAAAATGATAAATAAAAATCATCTGCAATAGCAGATCGCGTAAAATAACGCGACTTTGCGAATTCTTCCTTCACACTAGTGGATTTTATGGAAACTGACGTCGACAAGGCAGTATTTTTAAACATTCTTTTTCAATGTTCAGAATAGTTGGCCTTGAAATTCAAATTATTTTGATATCCCAAAAGAAATGTCTATGTAGATTATATTAAGTATTGTTAGTTATAGGTTGAGCAAGAAATTACTAAATTGGTAACATATACCTACATATATAGACAATGCTGAACTGAATGCAAATCGCTTGTTAAACAACAAAATCAAGGCGTTCATGTTTTGCGCTTAAGGTGAGTAACAATTCGAATATCTAAAAATCGAAATCAAAATTGAAATCTTAAGTGAAAGCATTAATTTGGATGACTTCTCTTCTCTTTGTTCGATTTAGAAAATTCATGCATTTGATAATGGATCGGTCAAAACGTCCTATGTGAGTATTCAGTCCAGAGTACATTCGATTTATTATAATCACCATATTCATATATGGTGCATATTTATTTGCTATTAAACTAATTCCTAGTTCTGATATGTATGTGATTTCGATTATTTTAATTCTGTATTCGTTCGAATTTTAGATTAGCCTTTTTCTTTGGATTAAGTAAGGTAAGTAATATTTTTATGTTACTTTTTCAGTAATACGAGTATTATTGTATAATTATTAGAGAGCAAATATAAGGAAAAAGCAGAGCGAAGGTAAATTCTCATTCTCATTTGATTTAAGTTAGGTGAACTTGTGTCTACAATACGAGTATGAGTATGGGTATGGATATGCTTTCGTTTCAGATACGAATGCGATATCGCTTTGCAGAACTTATTAAATGAATTCGTCGGATTAGGAAGGTTAGAGCATCCTTCCTTCCTTAAAAGCTCCGTTTTGTGTATGAAATTTACTCAGCTGAGTAACATCTGAGGTAAGAATAATTTATTTCATATTTATTTCAAGTCCCTTAATATATATTCCTTTTTAACCGAATAATTGATTTTAAATTCGATATTGCAAATAAGACTACTGCATGCGATCTACATTTAGTTTGATATCAGATTATTGGAACTTTAAATAAATTGTTAGTTATATGTTGTTTTTATTTCAAAAAGTTTATGCGAGTTTTCCACGTTTTTCAAAAAAGATCACAGTTTCGTTTTCTCATTGCGATAATGCAGATGTCTAAAGTATTGAATATTGTAAATTGATGTCATCGACTCGTTATTACGAATTCCTTATTATTCGCGTTATTAACTCGAACTGGTAGAAAAGAATAACATTTTACCTGATTGAGTAGAAAATATTTACTTATCATATAAAAGATCTTTTCTATGACAGATAAACTAGACTCAATTCATATATAAATATTGTACTGACATTCGATATTCGAAACGAATATAAGCCAAAGTTATTTTTTTGACAAGTATTTTCGCATAAACTTCAATATACTTGCTTCAACAAAATTTTAATTAGTTAGACATTTATTAGTTAAATTAATTTGATATATATTTATTCTCTTCATCCATGTTTCTAAAGTTCGCTTCTATATATAACTTCACATTTTCTTTAAGGCTTTTACAGATGTTCGTTGTAGCTGACACATTTAAATGAAATGTCCCAAAAGAATGTCTGTAGCTTTAATTAAATATTTTAACTTTTTACTACTTAAGCACTGAAAGAGACTGAAAAATAAAAAGATTAACTATATGAAGATAATTTCAATAATAGTACGATATTATAAAAACTTATGTACATACGATTTATTTCTCATTTTCAGGTACCGATCACTGGAGTTATTAATAATGAACAATAAGTCATGGTGTGAGAGTTACTTTGTAATTCATCATACCTTTAATATAATGGTTGATCTATGCACCAAACTCAATTGAACATCCGACAGAAATATGTTCTCGTTTGATGGCGCTATTAAGTTGATATGCAGCGACACGATAGACAATGTAGCAGAACTGTACTAATGGTCACCCATTCAATTTATTGTGAATAACAAACCATTTTGAAATATAACCTCTAGCGCATGTTGTTCTGCATTATTGGACATAAAGTGATGAATTCTATAATTTTGGAATCTAATATGTATATCGAAAATTTAGACATAATGTCAACTTTCTATCTGTGCCCTAGGAAGCATTGAAATTAAAAAGTAATTTGGAGTTTGGAGGTTGGCAGTGCAATAGACGATTAAATAGAAGAAACTTGTTGTGTAAGATACTTTTAAGTTGTTTTATTTATTTATTTTACCCATCCATACCTATGTGAATGTAGATTCTGAACTCTACAGTTAACAGTCTACTTTCAAAATACTTTGTTATTCAATTCAATTCTTTCGAATATATATTCTGTCGTTGAATATGATAAATACGTTAAATATATTAAATATTATACTTCGAGTGTAGAAGGGAAATTATGTATCTTGTCTGAGAGAGGATATGTGGAAAATGTGGTTAAATTATAAATTTGAATTCGTTAGAAATTCTAGTCGTATTCAATATAACGATATTTATTTTGACGAAAAAAATTAATCCATTCAACCTGCATTCTTAAGATATAATCCATACCGTATCGTAAATGAAAATGAGAGAAACTATCATGTAAAACTTTTTAATGGAAAATTCTTGATTTTTTCTTTTATGTATCACATTTATGCAATGCAAGATAATAAAATAAGTCTTTTATACGGTATCGATTAATAATTTAATAACGAAGTTAAGTTTCTAGTAATATGTCAGTAGGTTATTAATTGTTACATTTCAGTAAGGATAGGACTAAATTTCTCCATAAAATATTAACTCGGTTCCAATTGATCAGAAACAATATATGATTCAGATTTTAATGGGTATTTTTATTATTTTTTCATAAACTCACTTTTTTTTCTGTTTTATTAAGTTAGTTTAATTACAATACTATTAGAATCAGAAAAAGAATATGAAGTTATTAATCCTATTAACAACAGGTTTTTTTTATTAATTTATTTCTAGTTTGAAGAAAGAACCTTTACTTACAGCAAAATAACTACATACATTTTGGTTTTCCCAGTTATTTTCCACAGAAGTTTTTACAGGACTCATACGCGAAATCTAAGTAAATGATCTGTAGTGTTGCAGTTAAGGATAACGAAAAGGAGCATCTTATTAATTGGAGATAACCAACCTAGAATCAAGCACCAAGAACCAAGATTACAATACTGTGATTTTATGGAAAGTATTAGGTCTATATTCTTCATGGAAAACTTTTAGCGAATACAACTTCATCAAAGGAGTATTTCGAGCACTGCGTAGTTTTGTTGCGTTACTCGATACTTTTGAGTGTCCAACTCGCTGAGTAAAATTTTAAGAAGTATTTGTCACAAAACTATAAAAAATTAAAAA